TGAAAATCATCATTTTAATGATGCATGCAAGGTAAATTTTGATGCTGACTTCAAATACACTCATAGTTGCAGTCAATTGATAGAAGAGATTTCTAATTTAAAGAGAAAAAAGTAAAAAGTCATGGATAAGCAAAGATGTTTCGAGGAGTGCATGAGTTTTTTTCGTAGTGTTTTCGAATATGTGATAGTCTATAGTGAAGAAAAAGAAAGTTTTGTTGTTGACAATCAATGATGATAACGTTATTGATTATATTGGCGTGTAATACCAATATGATTGATGATTAGCAATTGTCCAAGGTGTGGAAGGTAACTTGAAAGAACTACATGTATCATTACTGCATCCACCCCGATTCCGAACTTCATTTTAGTTTTGCTGTTTGACGATACGAGCTCACTGCTGAATTGGGAAGTAATATATGTTTGTTTGCTAACACTCCAAATTGGCACACGCTACAGCTACACAATTGTATAACCTCTATGCAATGGGATACAAAATGTTTTCGCTGAATATTGGCTGAAATATTTTCCCACATAAGCATCGATATTCCATATTTGGATCAGTACGTACAGCTTTTACCAAGTCTCACTATCTGATACGTTTAATAAAAGGCAAACACTAGAGAAGAAGCAAAGGTCCACAAGAAACTATGTTTATGTACGGTTTTTCACTTAGATCTCTATATATTAGAAATCTCTTCTATCAATTGACTGTAACTATGAGTGTATTTGAAGTCAGCATTAAAATTTACCTTGCATGCATCATTAAAATGATGATTTTCAGATTGATGGTCGAAAAATCATAAGGTTTAACATTACGAATCTTAAGAAATTCTAAGTATCATTACTTTTGCAATTCCATGATGGGAGAACTAATATTTTTCGCACAGGTAGTAACTACTGAGGGCTATTTGTGAAAATAATTTGAATGAATTCTACGTGTAGTCCTCGAGAAAATGAAGGCCCAATATGAGGTTTTCGGAAATCACTAGTTTTTGAAAGTCGGATATCTGGGCTAACGAATGCATTCTGAAAATATAATCCAACTGTTTCGAACTAGCACTGTCTGAGCTTTATTTTGGTTCGAATAAATCATGAGGTCTAGATCCACATGTAGGGTTTCTAGAGTACTCGATTTTAGCAAAAATCGCATTGTTATGGTTTTTGCAAGTGCGCTGGTGCTTTGGAATTTTTAAGTATGCACCCGAAAATTATTGCATAGAGACAACTTTTTATGCTCTATCCAATGGTCTACTTAAGATTTTCATATCATGTTCGAAAAAACCGAAATGGTTTGGTTTAAAGGATCGGATTTCTAGAAAATTGGATTTTGAGCCCTACCTGTAGGACTTAGCACATGATTTCATTAAAAATAAAATATGGTTTCCTACGCAACTCACTAGAGCTACAAAACTAACATGAGTAAATGTTGTCTGCAGAAGGTCGATGTGAATTTGGGAGGACCGGCGTGAAAGCACCTCAGTGTGTTCGTCGGATTGCGAAGTAACTAAAATGAGTCAAAATGGACTAATACTGATCAGATAAGCAGCATATTTGTTTCTGACATTGGATGATCGACTTCGGAGATAAAAAATTAAGATCACATAAACTTCTTGGATACTGCTATATCTTGGATTCTGCGTAAGCACTCAGATAAAAATAGAAAATATCTGTCTTAAGTTTTCTTATCAAGAATCGACTGGATGCGTCCACTGTTATTCACCGTCCACAAAATATAAGCCGATACAGGTTGTGGGTGTGGTATGAGTGTAGGTGCAGGCTCAGCGGATATCAACACCCACACCTTACGTTCATTATGGTGGGTTCCTCTGCGTAGTACTTAGTGTCATTTGTGTCTTTAGGATGATCTTATTAAATGGAGAAAGAAAATCTATTAATGTGAGATTGCTAGCTATTTCAACATAGAACGGGCTAAAACTATGGTTTTTTACACTTTTCTGTATTTCAATTGTAAGATTGTCTGTTTGATCACAAAAACAATGAGTGATGCCATGAACCGTAAAACTCAGCATCATTTTCAAATAACTGTATAGCGTATTTGATTTGAATTATTCCAGCACAAAAAGCTATTTTATCGAAGGGTAAAAGAATAAACCCTTCGCCGTAGAAGTAAAAAAGGCGTTTCACGGAAAGGTAGAACAAGAAACCCTTCATCGTAGATTAATAAACCCTTCTCCTTAAATTTTGGTACAATAAATCCTTTTTATTTTCAAATACCCTTACTTTCATCAACGTTTCCGACAAAAACATAAACCTTTTAAGGGTTTATGAAACTTTTTTTCTAGTACTAGAGTTTAGCATTCTACGATTTTATTTTACAATTTATTTCGATAATAATAATTTTTACAGATCACCTATAATGAAAAATTTATCTAATTACTGGTATCGATTTGGGCTCTATGGCTGGTACAGGTGACTCAGGCACGTCAACATTATAGGAAAGCACCGAATTTGACGAAATTCTGCTGGTTTTAGCAGACTTAAAAAATACTTAGCCATTTTTGATACACTAAAACATGATGCACTATATTCCGAAAAATCGGCGGTCTATCGGCGGTTTTTTTCCGGTTTGAATCACACGGGAGTAATGAAAAAAGATGGTTTACCGTAATTTTCTGCGACCCGTAGACACGTACTTAGCTGCTTCGCAAAAAATAGTCATTCTGCAATTCCATATGCCCATTCAAACAGCTGCCTAATGCCTTTCAGAAGAATTATTGTGAAAATGTTTTTTAAAGCGAATGTGCTTCACATGATGACACTCTAAGTAACCATTCTTGTTTTTCTGAATCGATGGATACATTCAGTGAGCGAAAATTTCGCAAAAACGCTTTCGTTCGCTGCGCGCAATGAATTCTTCGCTTTTATATTCTTGATGCCTTTATAATCAACACGTCATTTTTCGCACATGTACTTCTTTGGCAATAACACATCGCCTGCATCGAACACCGATAACTTGTAAGGACAAGAAAGCATTCGAAGTAAAAAATAAGCACGCATAAAAAACGGAAGACAAAAACCAAATGTTGGCGGTTGCACATCGTCTGCATCTAATATTGATGGGGTGTGGGCGTGGGTATCTGTGCTGCACTTATTTACACCGACACCCTCAAGCTCTGAAATCTCATGTTAAACGATATGAACAAATGATGAGTTGCCTAAAAAATATTGATATAGCTAATCATTTCTATTTGTAAATTATGAGGTCAAATAACGTACTCTCGACAATAAGAGAAGCCATATAAACTTGGAAATCAACAAGAGTAGATTTAGGAAAATTTCCAATGGAAAAAAAACGTTATTAATTTATCAAGAATCAAGAGTAAGACATAACATATTGTGTTGAATTCGAGGTATCATATGAAAATAGAACCGATTGAGCATTGAATTAATTCTTAAATCATTATTCTCATTTGATATCGTTGTAAAATCAAGAGAATGTGTAAAGTTAATGCTTCGAGTCAATCCATCGAATTTTTGATTGACTCCTATCAATGAATATAACACATGAACATTATTGAGTCTGGTAAAAATAGCAAGCAACATCTTATCACATAGATCAAGAATATTTGATAGCTGAATAATTCATGGCTGACTCGACATGACAATACACCCCAATAATAAATACTTATCTATCTATATATCATGACTGATATTGGGATCAATGCTAAATTGTCAATCGTGAATATCGTGACCTTTCATGACATCATGGCGTTTCGCCAATCATTAAATTACCAATAAGAACTAAATGAATTCATCATACGGCACTACTTAGAAGTATACGATCTGAATTAGAGAGCGAATCGAATCGAACTCAAACCAAAAAAAGTCGATTCGATTCGCTCTCTGATTGGCATTTTTGTTGTCATTCACGATGACAACTGTTTATAAATTCGAAAATTCATCTTGAGGTACAATTATGATACTCAGACTTTTTTAATTAGAATTTTCGATGCTATAAGAATACGAAGTCCCAGCTAAATAGAATCAAAAGAAACTAAACATTTTTTAAATTTTTATTCGAACCGAACTCGAATCAGAAAAGTGATTTCGATTCATTCTCTGATCTAAATTGACTAATTATTATCACTTCATAGAATTAATCACTTTTTTTCATATGTAGTGTTTTCATGTTCGATCTTCGCTTGCTGAAATGAAGATACTATTGGAAACCTACGAATTTTGTGCAACTCATATTTTCGAAGAAATTTGTAAGTATAAATTTTAAGTTCGATTTTGACTGGTGAAGAATATCGGAAAGTTGACCCATAACATGGTCATGGTATGTTTTCTTAGATTTCCATAAAATTCAATGTATTCTTTTTGTATTTTTAGACCGGCTTCTTGTTTGTGTTCGTTTGTTGTTTTCTGTATTTTTTTATTGATTATTAAAAGAACTTCATTGACATAATTGTTTGCGTTTATCGTATTGTTGTTTATTCTGGTGAAATAAGCTGGTTGAGAGAATATTGGAGAATAAGTTGTTTCCTCATAAGTGATTCACACAACATATCAATATATGTATTTAGACTGACTCATTGCGATAGATTTGAATATCTATATTATCAGAATAGGAGAGAATTAAAATTAGTCGTGGTAAACGTTTCAGTTTTTTATTTTATTTTACATGGATGAAAACAATAACAATGCTATATGGATGTTCCGAGAAACATGTAATTGTTGCAAATAATAATTTTCGTCACAATAATTTGCGTGTATATTTTATTTTCGATGATATTCCTACTTTGTTAGTAATTGGCGTGATGATTTTTTTATGTATAAAATATTTATCAAGAGTCTGTAAGATATTCTGAATGAGACGAGCATGAGTGTGGTTGTCGTTGCGGTTTTGTACTGATTTCAATGATATCCATACCCACACCTACACCCAAAAATATTTTATCTTGCTAGTGCACTATGTGTCAAAACAAGATTTAAAATGTGATAGAGAATGAAATGAAACTGAAAGAGTGCAAAGTAAATTAGTTGATTGATTCAGCTTTCAGATCGAATTGAACAGGAGTTGATTCCATTGGCAGCTGATTGTTGTCGTTGGTTTTACTAATGCTCAATTCGTTCTCATACCGAACAAGATGTAGGAAAAATGCAGCATTTGGCAAGGCCACTCGTCTACATTGGAGCAAGTAATCATAAGCTACATATAAATTTTTACAGCGATAGCTGAAAGAAAAAATAAACAGTTCACATTCGACAAGGAATTGGGCTTCTTACTTCATTAAATACGCAAGAATAATCGCAGAGGAACGAGAAATACCCATTTTACAATGAACCAAAACTTTCTCGCCTTTCTGTTGATGCAAGTGCAAGAAGTTATTACTTTGCTCGAAATGTTTTCGAATGTCAGCACTAATGTCATCATCGATGTTGATCCATAATACATCAAAATGATCAAGAATTTCTTGGTCCAACTCTTCATCGCAAACATTAAGAATATGTTGAATGCCGAGTTGTTTGAGCAAGTCAATATTCTGTGCGTGACCAATGTTTCCATGGTACAGAAAATCGTCGATAATTGTAGATGGTTTACGATGGTCTGGGCGTTTTGATGGAATACCTCGAGGTTTCAAATTTAGTGCGCACAAGCGTTTCACGCAGACCAATTCTTCCATCGTAGCGTTCAGTTCCTTTGCCAGAGAATATTCCATCCTTTCAACCATCCGTTCGTTCAATTTAGGCAGCACTTCGTGCATTTCTTTTTTCTCTCACACTAGTTTTTATCTAGAATAGAATCGAGATTTTATTCACTTTTCTATTTAACGAAACTCATGAAGTAAACTGTACTGACGTTGCACAAAGTATAGCAATACTCATCGTATTTATTTTGTCTTATGCTTTAAACCATGTGGATACATTTATTTTGAGGCGAGAAAATGTTTTTCATAACTTTTTATTGTGCGCTATTTTACTATGCCGTTAACATAAATATTTGTAATCATGTTTATAGTCTTGCACAATTCTCGTCTAGATGGTGTAGCAATAGCAAACATAGAGCGAAACTGAATCGAAATTTTTAAAAAGTAGATCGAACAAAATTATTGCTATTTTACTGGATTGTCATTGATATCTTTCTTTTTATAATGGCTTACTGAGGGTAGAGATCTACGATTCCCAGAATATTAGATAGAAATGCAGAACCGTTTAATAATCCGATAAGTGAAATATTTTAGTAACTTAAATTATTTAATTGTTGACATTAAAAGTACTTTATGTTTATTGAGAAAACAATTTTTTCAAACTGTACTACATATGACAATATTGTAAATTCTGTTCTGTGTTGAGAACAGGATGTGGGTGTTGATATGTCGAAAGTAATACCAACATACACTCACACACATTCAATGATATTGATAATAATACCTTTGTATATTCATGCATGTATCAGGGTTGGAACATGGTACAACAAATAAAAATATTCATTACTCAAAACCGCGCATCATCGATAAAAAATATAGATGGCGTCAGTAATCATGTGAAAACAACGATCCGGTTCTTTTAAATATCCCTTGATAATCACTCGGTTTCAATATTTGTGAAAACTGTAGATCTCTATTGGCAACGTGTACGTTAGGGGTGTCAATTTACAGTTTATTTTATTTAAATTTAACTTCGTGAAAAGTTAATTTAATTTTAAATCAAATTCTATCAAGTTAAATTTTAAATAAATTAAAATTTTTCTGATACAAAAATTTATTTCTTGATTTAATAAATTTTTTTAAATTTAAATTTAAAATTTAATAAATTGTTTGGATGAATACACATCATTGCTACGAGTAAAATACGTGACTATAACAGTAGTAAATACTAAATGAGAGGAAAACCTAGTATTTTAGGTTAATATTTATTCATAATAGTCAAAATTTCTCTTCAGATTATGCAGGATCCGTCATCTTTCTTCTTCAGAATACTGGGATACTCATAAAAATATATTTAATAGCACAATTCATAGAAGAATGGCTAGCTTTAACTTTAGAAAACAGGAAGCATACTCAAATTTGACTATAAATAGTAGCAATCAAGTCAAAAACTATTTTTATCTGCTAGTTTTCAAACTTAAACTAATTTGAATTTCAAACAATTTGGTAAATATCCTCTTCGCCGAAAATCACATTGTCGAAATGAGGATCGCCGAATCAAAGATTATCGAAATGCTCATTGATAAGAAATTATGATGTTAATATTGACGATCTCTATTTCGATAATATTCATTTCGGCGATCTTGTTTCTCGATAATGTTTGTTTCGGCGATGAGGTATACAACCATTTATTTTAAATTTAAATTTTTGAAAATTTTTTTCCCGATTTAATAAATTTTTTTAAATTTAAATGTGACACCCCTAGTGTACGTTGACTCATCAATTATTTCATCTTTGGAGTTTTGTATTCATTTTTAATCGTATATTTTCCTTCGTTAAAAAATATCCGAATCTCAAGAAGAGGTGCAAAACTAACGTCAGGATTCAATCATCTTCAATCCAAACTGAAAAAAATCAGCATATCAACCGGCTAGAAAATTAAAGTATTGTGTCGAGCTGATAGAAGCTCACATTATTCGAAAAGAGCGTGAAAAACCGAACGTGTGAATGTGAGGGTAGACCCTCTATTCATTCATATCCACACCCTGAATGAATAACATGCTTTTTGTTTTTCAATTTAAATATTTATGTGCATACTGGATGTCATCGGCTCCATAAAAAGAAAGAAAGATAAGTAAGAACACCAACAACTATTTCTGATTTAGTCAATTCTGTAAGTTAATTCGAACTAATGATACCACAAGACTTGAAAAATCTATACAAATGCGACCAACTTTAGCTTAACAAATTATTTTTGTAAAAAGATAATCTACACTATGATCGTGACCAACAAGAAAAAACAATATGGGGAACACTTCATATACTATGAAGAAATAATAATCAAACAATGCTCATGCTCACATCATAGTGTGGATTTCAGGTGCAACAATTTTTTTGTAAATTTTCCTTCTCTGTGTACATTAACAATTAGAAACACCGTGAGACACAAAAAAATAATCTTCACTATATTTTCTTGTTTATACCGATCGCATTTAATGGAGCACAACAAACCATTGATGGAAACAGACGAAAGCATTTCCATTAAGATTAAATTCAAGTAAGGCAATTCAAAATATTCAGGAAATCGATTCTATTTTCGTTATTTTACCATATAGAAAACAAAGCCACCGTGCTAGTGTCAAAAATGAAAAGAAATAGAAATAGATAAAATGAGTTTATGGAAAAAAGAAATCCTCTCACGCTTGCTCTCATTCGCTGTATCTCCATCTTTGAATCTGTCATTTTATTTTTCGATAATTTCATTTTTAGATCAAGGTAGGATTCACCAAATAGCGCTCTCAAATAAGCAGCAATTTCTCTGCATTTGAGGATTCCATTGTCCGATATTTTCTAGTAATATTATATTGAAAAGATACTAATGAGGACAGAGAAGTTTTTAGTTGATATTCAGTAGCTGTAAGTGTGTGATTTTATCTCACAGACCAAAAAAGAGCCTATTATCTGCTCTCGAACGAAAGAAAAACGAATCATTCTGTTTTTGTAATGTTTCTCTATTTTTCGTTCGCAAATAACCCTCTAGCGACTTGCATTTACTTCATTGTACGTACTGGAAAAAAAACGTTTTTTTTTCATGCATATTCTCTAAAGCAATCGATGCTTATATAAGAGCAGCAGTTTCAGCATAAAATCATAAGCACACATATTTCTTCTCCCATTATCAATAGCAAAATGAATAACGTCAAAACTGTGGTTTACATTATGACTGTCGTAGTATTTTTGACTGTACATTGCAATGCACGAATAGGGAAAGAATCTCACAAATCTGTCAATAAACGTGCTTGCGGTCGTCCTGGTGATGTTTGTACCAGCACGACTGATTGTTGCGGTCATGATGATCCTGAAAGTGGCCATTGTGTTCTGTGTACTGGTATCTTTGTTGGTCTTTTTGGTATTGGCCGTCGTACGTGTGGTTGTAGTACTCGTTCCGTTGCTGTTGATCTTGCTACACATAAAATTGTGACTGATGTTTGCGATGGTCGCGATCGGTCTGGTAGTCGTGTTTGTCGTACACGTATTGCTCCTCCTGGTGATTCTTATTATCGTGGTGATGATTACTATAATAGTCGAGGGAAATAAGCCAATTATGCTGTTTGAATATATAGTGTCGAAACTAACTTAACATACTCTTTTCTTTTTCAAAAAAAATGGCACGAACTCATTTGTACACTTCAACTTGACTAGCTTCGTCAGTCATTATCAATTAATTAGCATTAACTCATATATTGAAAGACTATTTTTTCTCTTTTCTCTATTCATTTTTCAATTTTCTTTATAAAACAATGTACTAAAATTAGACACTGTCTATTTTGTTCGTGAACATTACCACATCATTGCCGTCAGAACGTTGAAGTCACACGCATTTCTGTAATTCTCATACGTTCATTTACCTTCAATATGAATATACACGGTAGGATGTGTAAATATCTAGCAAATATTTTGATGATATCATCTCGACTATTGGAATCCTGAAGTGGTTTTAATAATAGATCTGCTCGAGAATGATCATTAGATGAAAAGCAAGGCGTTTATGTATTATTATCTTGGCATTCAATTCTTTTTCCCTACAAAAGATAGGCTCTTCTATGATTAATTTGATTTTTGATATGAATGTTTTTCTCATTATTTCATTTGACAAAAACAGCATTAATTGGGCAGGATAGAAACCATAAATAATAGGAAGAAGTTGAATATCGATATTCCTATTCAGAAGCGAAAGAATAATATAAGATGAGAGAACAGAGAAAAACAACGATTATTCATCAATATTATCTCCAAAACATTATCGATCAATGTAAAGGAGAGAAGACGTCCATCCACATTCACAGCCTTTCAATAGTTTTGAAAGAAAGAACGAAAAAACAACAGAATTCAGTGAAATAGCGATGTTACTTACAAACACAAACCTGAGTAAAAAAAAAGAAAGGTAAATAATGAGTATGCAACAACAGTGACTTCACATTTTGCTGTCATTGCTACACGTGTAAAGGTAAGACTGTGAGGCATTGCCATTCGTTTTCCATCGACATAGATGACGTCTAAATTGGAATTAAACCAATGTTCAACATGTCAGAAGAGTTCAGGAAAATGCATGTGCGATGGATGTAAAAACTATTTTTGTATGAAACATTTTGAACAGCATCGTCAGCAACTGTCGATTAAATTCGATGATGAGATTGCGAAAACTCACGATGAGCTTCGGGAACAAATCAATAGAATAAATCAATCGAGTGTCTCTACTTCAGAATTTTTCAATGAGATTGATCGATGGGAGACAGTTACAGTAGAAAAAATTCATAAAGCAGCAAATCAAGCTCGTCGCCAACTCACTCAACTATTCACTAGAGATAAAGATACATTGGCTAAAGAATTTGGAATGATAACAAAAGAGATTCGTGATCGGCGTGAGGAAGACAATTTTGATGAAAATGACATTGAACGAATCCGACAAACAATCAATCAAATGAAGATATCACTAAAACAATTTATTCAACCAACGAAAACGATCATAGTGACAAACGATCGAATCGATTGGAATCGATTTATCTACGTTGAAAACGAACACAACAGAGTCGGTGAGTGAATCAAAAATTTCTTTCGAATTCAACTCGCATTTTATTTTAGCTACATTACGTTCGAATTCGACTGACATTCATTTGGATGCTGAATGGGTGCAAAATAGTATCACTGTGGCTGGTGGAAATGGACAAGGGAGGGAAATGAATCAACTTTTTTACTCGTGGGGTTTATATGTCAACGATGAACAAACTATTTTTGTTGCTGATACTTCGAATCATCGTATTATGGAATGGAAATATGGTGCGATGAATGGTCAAGTGGTTGCTGGTGGAAATAGACAAGGCAATGGAACTCATCAATTAAACAATCCTTACGATGTGATTGTTGATAAAAAGAGCGATAGTCTCATCATTTCCGATTGCGGGAATAAAAGAGTAGTTCGATGGCCTTGTCAAAATGGCACGAGTGGAGAAACAATCATTTCAAATATTGATTGCATTGGTTTGGCAATAGACGAGAATGGGTCTCTCTACGTTGTTGACCATGCAAAGCATGAAGTTCGAAGATATAGCATTGGTGACACTGAAGGAACAGTTGTTGCAGGTGGACGTGGAAAAGGAAATCGCCTTGATCAACTTGCTAATCCTTATTACGTGTTTGTCGATCGAGATCATTCAGTTTATGTGTCTGATCATGGAAATCATCGCGTAATGAAATGGAAAGAAGATGCAAAACAAGGCATTGTTGTAGCGGGTGGCCAAGGATCTGGAGATGATCTTACACAATTGTCAAATCCTCGAGGAATTTTTGTCGATGAATTGGACACTGTGTATGTGGCTGATGGAGGGAATCATCGAATAATGCGTTGGCCAAAAGAAGCCACACAGGGATGTGTCATTGCTGGTGGAAACGATTCAGGAGGAAAATCGAATCAACTGAATAACCCAGTTGGTTTATCGATCGATCGACACGGTAATCTTTATGTTGTCGATAAAAACAATAGTCGAGTACAAAAATTTAATATCGATTCAAATTCATAGTTTGTTTTCGTCGTGGTGGACAGTTGAATTTCTTTCGACAGAAAAGACAAGTTGTTTCTTAATAAAACGTAATTTTACAATAGGATTTTCATTTTATCAATGTTCATGGGGTGGGTAGGACTACAAGCAGAAAACAATACTTCCAAACACACCACACCCACTCAAATAAATTCAGCTTACAGTTGGTTTGATTTCAAGCGTTGGACGAATTCGATTATTTCTAAGAAGAAAATTTTGTTTGATAGAATTATTTAGGATTGTCTTAGATTTACCTATTTATTATTTTTCTTATCAAGATAGTAACTATAATGAGAACAACTAAACCAACTAGTGTACTTGTAATGGATATTATTATAATTGATGGAATCTAAACGAAATAATATATTCATCAAATAACTGAAAAATCTATTTCAATGTTCACCTTAATACCAGGAGTAGCAGTAGTTGAAATTATCACAGTTGTCGTTACGCACTAAAACAAACATATGATTACAAATAAATCAAGTTTTATTCTGTTAATGAAGTAGAATCTGACACTAATTAGATGAGACAACTAACCTGTAAGCCTTGAAATAAGGCATCGAAATTGATACAAGCTTTATCAATATTGATACCGGTTGCTATTCTATATGCAACTGGTTCTGTACCCATTCCAAGAGCCATAACAATCTTAAAATTGGCAGTAAATCCTTGTTTTATAATTCTTAATACATTTTCAGTGTTGTTGTAAGTGGCATGCTGATGATTGTTGAGCCAACCTTTGAGCCAACTTCCATTTTGTCCTCTTATAATAAATGTTGAAAGATTATTTTCATTGCCTAATGTAATATTAGTCTCATCAGGATCAGGACTAATTTGCCAATGCCAAAAATGTGATAAAATATCAACAAATTGATCATGAATAGCTATGATTGTATCAATATTACCTCTTGTGATCATGTCCACAAGGATATCGCGGCTTGCAAGAGTAATATTTAAATTTACGCTAGAATCAATGGAGACATATCCACCGCCTTGATCACTGAATGGTTTTATTGCTTTTGTATAACCAAGTTTCGTTCCTTTCGGTGGTTCTCTAGGCCATCCATCGATCAACGGCGTGCTAAATTTTCTAGTTACATTGTACTGTTGAAATTCTTTTCCAGGCATTCGAGCCCAAGTGGTATCATGACTCATTATTGACAATGCAAATGTTTCATTCGCATTCCATCCTGCATGACGTCTATTCCTATTCACCAGTCCAATAAGTACATCATTTTGATCTCGATAGCGATTTCGAAATCCATAGAATCCATCGACATTATCATTTATCATTGAAGTTGATCTAGGAAATACAACGCTTGGATGTTGAGCTACTATTTCATATGGATAGTATAATAATGCGGCACTTTTATCTTTACCATCGTATGCTGGTGAAGATGAATTGATTCCCATAGTTCGATCATAGAACCATTTCAGAGCTGCCTTTATGTTTCTGTCATTTGTTGAATTGAAAATAAACGGTAGAAATCCATTGTACGAGTAAGTTGAGTCCGATACACCGAATTGCAAAGAATTTCTGCGTTTTCTCAATGAAATGATGTGTAACGCTAAATTATGCCAATCTGGACGAAACCAAGCGTCGTCTAAAATGGAAATACCCATAGATTTTGCTAGATAAACAGCTGGGCCAAGAATAGGTAATGTATATGCCAGATAGCTTAATCCTTCTTGCATATAACCAGAAGGACCATAAGAATGTTCGAGATGTAGTTTCAATTCATGCAGAAGAAATAAAATACGTCTTTCCGCCTGATCATTCGGATATCCTTCTTCACCGTAAAGAGTCAGATGTAATATCAATTCACTTGATTTTACAATACCCATCCAATTACTTGCTTTGTCATTTGAATTTCGTGAATGATCATCTACAAGAAAATTAGATTAAAACTCAGTCGCAAGTAGATTTACTAAAGCTACATAATAGGCACTATGGGTGTCGTATTGATGAAGAAATAAATCACCCATAGGTACACCTCACACTGTACCTGAGTAAGATGTAAATATAGACGCAGCATATTGAAAATCTTTTATCAATTCCTGTCGTTGTTGTATGGTAAAAGCATAGTAAGCCCAATCAAAAGCTTGTACTCGAGCCATTGTACTAAGACTAAATCGAAGTTTGACAGCGGATTCATCGTATATTGTATAATTTATTCTATTGGCATTTAACGCTGAATATGCCATATGAACATAATTGATATCTCTTGTGATAGCGTATAGTAGAGCTGCATCTCGTGCAGACCAACAATAATTAAAAGAATTGTCAGGTTGATAGGTGTAAATACTTTTTATAAGTGCTTTAAAAACCTCCTGTGCATGCCCTGATTGATTGGTTTTCTCTCGAATAAAATCCAGATGTGTGGGTGTAAGGACTATTCGTGAACGAGTTAGATTAGCGAGTTTAACAGTAGCTATATCATTTCCATCATCAGATACAAGAAGAAACGGGCCGGTATTGGATAATTCAACGATTGCTTTCATATCTTGTACTGGATAGATGCCTACAAGTTGAGCTCTACTATTGTTAATTTTAAATACACTATCAATACCATTGTAAAGAATGATTTTGTTAGCTGTACTTTTTGATCTAAGTTTCCAACTAAGATGAATACCATTTATTCTTGGCAAAGCAATGAGTGTCGTAATATTATAATAATCTTCTCCTAAGTCTGCTTGACCAATGATAAGTATCGTTCGATCGATGATTGTTCTATTCGAGTGCCGAGCGACTACTTGATAGGTATATATCGTGTCCAAATGAACGAAATGATCGGTATACATTGACTCGTAGATATTTTTTCCATATGAAGACATTGTAGGAATGGTTACTAAGAGATGAGTATCATCAAGCGTTGACAATATTCCTTTGCTTCTGTAAATATCATAATTAGCAACAGTATTTCCATGATTTTCTAAATTCCATTGAATAAAAATTGTTCCGTCTTGTCGTGGAGACACAAAGAATGTCGCATTCTTCCAAACATCGACTTGCTCAATAGAAATATTGGCCATTAAAACGACGCCCATAGAATTATACATTTGAATTACAATTTTAGCTGAAATTGCATAGCTACGAATAGGTCTTGTGATACGAACATAACTCCATGTTAAATTTCGAGAAAAAGATTTCACATATTCATTTCCAATTTTATAATTTGAACTATCATAGAATTCTAATTGAATACTTCCAGAACCATAGATTATCCATGTTCTATGCCAGAAAGTCATTACGAGAAGGCTTTTGTTTGTACTATGTTCTAATTGAATCGTTTGTGTAAGTTTAACTAAAGTTCGAGTAGTGTACACTGAAATTTCGACTGCATTGAGAGATAGATATTTTCTAGGCAAGATCGTAACGGAAGTATTATCCTGTCCACCAGTAATGTTCCAAATGCTCGGTTGTCCATCAAATTCTAGTTGGCTAAAATCTCCGTTACGAAGAAGATTGCCTGTTGTTAATCCGTTCATTGATGAAATCCCTTCCGTAATAAATATCAGGATTATTGTTCTAACATTATCTACGGAAAAAAGATTCATTGCATTATGAAAGTTTAGAAACATTGTTCGTATGAATTTCTTCTTGATCGTTCTAAATTCGACAAAGCCTTTGAGTAACGCCAGACATTTTTTTCTTTTGCCTTGTACTTTATACGAACGAACAGAGAGAAATACAATACCTAAGCGATGTTTTCCTTATTAACAAAAATCGAAGTAATAATAAAAGAAGAAGAACGAGAAATATGATACATGTCATTTTTCAATCATCAATCGAAGACTTCTAGTACAGAACATTCAATTTTTTTTCTTTTTGTTACTTCCTATTATTAAAAGAGTAATGGTAAAATCCAAGAGGAAGAATAATTCATTCATATGCTGAGCAATTTCTCGTCAAACAAAATTTGCGAGATCTTTATCTTGAATATTGTTTGTTTGATTTTTATATTTTAAATCAATTAATTAAAGAAGCAAAATTATGTAAAATAATCAGGTGTCGACGACGACTATTTACAACTCATACCCTAAATAAAGTTATAATCATACACGCAGAATAATGAGTAACTGCAAAAAATAAAATTGGATTATAACATGTGTAGCTAATTCTTTTTAAAAAAATAGAAACTCGTCTTTTACTACTGATCATTATAACATTTTTTTAGCTGCATCCACTATCAGTATACTAACTTGACTCGACAGAACTGAATCGAGTAAAATTTGTATCAATAACAGCATCTCGTAAAATATAAACAATATAATTCATGTCAGTCAATTGTCGTGGAGTCGATAAAATAACACCGGGACGTAGTTAAACCAATCAAAACTACTGTTTTAATACAACCTGAATCTAATAATGTTAACAATTCAGAATTGTTAGCAGCTGATATACGATGTTTCTCAAATCGTATTTCATCTGGCTTTGGTTCAATGCCAGGATAAAATTGGACATTCGATGATCCTTCAATAAAAATATTTAATTTTGGTATAACTGAAAATTGTTTATTTTGACATGAGATTTCTGGATAGCCAGGTCTAAATTGAATATGAGAGAACATGATCTTATTCGATTCACGATCACTGGCTCTCACAACTTCAAGCCATTCTAGGGACTGTTTGAGAAAAGAAGTTTTTTCTGTTGAATTTGGCAACAGAGCTAAAGCGCCTTCTTCATAATCGAGGAATAGAAAAGCTGTAGAATCGGGAAACTATTCATTGATTAATTCGCATTTGCAATTTGACTGAACTGCTGTTGAAATAGTAATCAAAAACCAAAAATAAATAAATTTATCACCTTTCATTATATGTTTGTGTAGCAAACAATGCATGTATAAAATGCCATGAGAAGAATGTATGCGTGCGTAATTTATGAGTTAAATATGGGAGAAATTCATGCACGTAATAAAACAAAAAAGAACGAAAAAAAGCGTATGTATAATGCATAAATTAAGGTATTTATTTTTGAAGGTTAGTAAGGACACTTTGTTGTCCTACATTTCTTAGAATTGTTCAGCTTAAAGTATATTAAGCTTGATATGTAAATTGTTGGTATTGATTGCTGATGTTGTGACTGTGGGTTGCGAATGTTCGTTACAGGTTCGGTAGTAAATCGTTTTTTGTAAATATTCATTGATATAAAATAAAAAAAGATAGAAATCAAGTGAAAGCTGTTGCTTGATTGACCTAGTTAGTTTTTTTTCTCATTTGTACGTTGTTACTAACGTGATTAGAGTGAAGATAAATTTCTATGATCACCAATCGTTTCTCAGTATCCCACTTGATGCATTCATTTCTAGGCAGTTTGGTTACAGTGATAATACCATAGAAGACGATACATGTAAATGAAAACAAACTTTTTTGTTTTGTTTTGCAAATAATATGCTTTCCAACTTATTTTTCTTGATCAATTTCTCGTTTTCAATCCTACTGTCAATTTTTGCTTTAACTTTTATGTTTCTCATCATTATTATTGTTATCGCTCATCGACCATGTCGTACAGTTGCAAATCTTCTTACATGTAATACCAGTATTATCACTGGAGTCTATTTCATTAGCAATCTTATCTTATCGATCTATGGCTTACACGAAGATTGGGCAGTCAATCAGCTGGTATGTACTTTTCGAGCATACTCGTTTCTCATGGTACGCGGTTCCATTTGTTATGCCTATCTTATTCAAGTTATTAGTCGTCTCCTGTTTACCGTCTTGTCCAAATATAAATATTTAGTTACTTATCGTGTTCATTGGAGTTTTATTGCTTTGAATTGGATTATTGGTATCTTATTTTCCATTGAACCGTTCTTCTTTGATGGTGGTTTCGGATTCGAAAAAGAATCACGTCTTTGTATACTGACTTCAAAAACCATTTCAACATTTATCTATGGTATTGTCGTCGAATTTATGGTACCATTGAGCATTTCATTTGTTATTTATGGTATCATTTTTCAAGGAGTTCATAAATCACCTCGAAGAATTTTTGTTTCGACATCAGAAACCGGAACTTCTCAAATGCCTAGTGCTAGAAGTGAAATAAAAATCATAAAAAATATGATTATGTTAGAGGGTATATTTGGAGCTGGGGGAATACTATTTTTAACTCTTGTTCTTTGGCATATACTACTACCGAGTAGTTCACCATCAGAAGCATTGTATTTTTTGAGTATTAATTCAATGTCGTTATCTATTGGTCTTATGATGATTGCGATATTTGCTTTGAATAAGCAAGTGAAAAACATTGCTCTTGTGTATATAAGATCTGATCGTCAACGTATTCATCCGATAGTCACTGGTCGACAGCAACAGTTACAGTTAACGAGAAATTGATACGGAAAAACAAAAAATTTGCTTTATTAAAATTTGAATTGACAACAAACATTTATTACGAACAGAGCATATATAACATAACATGATGAAACACTTTTTAGTAAGGAGAACACGACCTAAACGAACACTACATTAGTAGTTGAATATTTTATAATAATGTTATTTATATTGAGAAAAATGACTACACAATCTTATCATATTATGAACATCAATAGAGGGTGCCACTTGAATAATTTATATGATAGGAGCTAAGGATATAATAATCATGATTGTGATTAGTTTAAGTTGAATTCGCCAACAACGATTGAAAACAATAATGCTTTTGTTTTTTTAAATAGCTACTCAACGTTTGTTGAATGTGACATCTCGTAATGGCCTAAACTTGGAACAAATAATGAATCTAATCAAAGATAAAAAATGCGGTCCATCTTCTCGTGTATTAAGAGATAGATTTCAAAATATTTGTCGGTATTTTATCAAATATTCTTAAAAGAAAAATGAAACTGGTTACTGTTGGATCTGGGAGTATTTTTGTTGGAAACGATTTTGATAAGAAAATATATTTTTCGTCTTCACCGCTCTTGCTCTATTTTCTTCGGCAAAACTTGTTTACGTATAAGTTAATCGAAAGTAATTTAATAGGACTAGAATATTAATTTAAATTTATTTGACAAATGTGAGAGACGTGAAATTTTCAATCGATAATGATTTAATCTCATAAAACAATAAGCATCGTTATAACTATTCTATCAATCGAAGTCTTGATTTGAAATCTTTAGATAAATATATGGATGACCTCAAACGAAAATCATCTTTTAATTGTTTATCAAAGAAATTCCGACGTAGGTTTATTGACACACTAAACATAAATAATTTTTTTTCTATTTTCATTAAACTAGAAGAAATGGATCGATCGATAACTTGTATTGAAAACTTATCGAATGAATGTTTTCATGAAATATTTGATTATCTTGAGGCGTGCGAAATATACGAAGCATTTTCAAACTTAAATTATCGTTTTCAACAACTTCTAAATTCTTCAGCCCTTTTATTGAAAATCAAATTTGATCTTTCCACATCAGAAGAAATGTTTAGAGATAACTATGAACAAATTATCGTTCACAGCAGACATCAAATATATTCAATTGATTTATGGATAATGGAAAATTGGTTTCTGACAATGTCGTTGTGTCTCATTAATTCTTCATGTAATCGCCTCGAATCACTTATTCTTGTTGGAATTGAACTAGATATGCTTCGTCGACTTCTTACTCATTACACTTGTTTACCTCGTTTATTTTCATTAGGCATTGATACAAAATTTAGTTTCACATTAGGAGAATTAAGCGATATTTATCAGTTAATTTTTGCTTTACCAAAATTAAAATCTGTCGAATTTTCAACAGATATATTTGATGATTCTAACTCAACACTTCCATTATTGATTGCTACTAATGAACAATTTAGTGGCATTAAACGTCTTTATATAGGTCATGCTTGTAGCTTTAAAGAACTATTTTCTATAATATCTTATACACCTGAACTTTGTCGTTTGAAACTATCATATGCAAGCGATGATGATGATGAAGCATATACTGAAAACGTATTACCAATTTCATTGTCAAAGTTAATCGATTTTTCGATAGATCGATATGAAATGAGGTTTGATGGATTTCAATGGTTTATTAAAAATATATTTTGGAAATTAAAAGTTTTACATCTTAATTTTGAATACGAAGATATCAAATGTTTCGATGCTAATCAATGGGAACAATTAATTCGGCAACATTTACCTCAATTGAAAAATATTTACTTGACATATTATGAACGTATTAATGATGAACATAATATTCTGAAAAACGCTGGTCAGCTTAATCAATTCTTTTCCTCTTTTTGGACTGAACGACAAACGATAATGGAAATTGAAATTCATGATGAACATATTAAATATGTAATTGGTCCACATAGGTACATCAGTTAACTATTTTGTTATAAAAAAGAATAAACTTGTCTGTTTAGAAAATCCTGGTATGAATATTTACAAAATAATATTGTCAATTCTTCTGTGCAGCTTATTCTTCGAAATGTTAATTTTGAAGAATATTTTCCTTTAGTAAAATCGCATATTGATGATATATTAACTGTTGGACAAATTTATCATTTGGAAGTTTCGAAAGTTTGCAGTAATACATTTATTGAAATTATAAATTTACTACCTAAACTTGATTCATTAAAAATTTCTTCTTTATCGTTAAAACAATCAAGCTGCTTATCTGTTGACGAAACTGAACTGCATATTGTAATATCGAATAAAAATCAAATAACAAAAGTCAATTTGGAAACGATTACTAATATCGAAGAAGTTAATTTTTTTCTTGAACTTTGTCCTCACATTATATATCTCAAAGTAGATTTCATAAATAATATAGATATGGAATTATTTGTACGTCATATTTTGATAAAAATTACCACAATATGCAATCATCAACTGCGATTATTGTGTTTTTGTAAATCTGCTGCAGATGATCAAATGATTAAAACATTACAAACAATGATTTATTCAGAAAAACTTCTGTTGGATTATACGATTAAACGAATAGTGAATAGTATCTATTTAGAATGGAAATAATTATTGTCAAGTGTTGTATTAATTCTTCTTCTTCTACAAATTGAAATAAAATTTTTCAAAATCATTTACCTTTTTCTATTCAGATTAAATAGAACGGTGTGGTATATGGTTGAGTGTGAATTTCCATGAGCGGGGAACAAGACACCCGAAACCTCACTCCACACCCATATCCACACATCCTTAAGGGAGTTTTTAATGTACTTAACTATTTTTACGATTAACAGGTAAAATAAAATTGACAGATGTGCAGGGTTATATAGTTTAAAAGATTCTATTACAATATTTTTCATTTTTTTTCGAAAATTAGATTCCTATAAAACCAAGATATATTGAGAAAAATCAACCACAGCTATTTTTAACATATTGTACTGAAAAAAATAGAACCCTTTTGTTTTTATCTACTCTTTTTTTTCGTGTAATTTGTATTTGTTATGTAGAATAGACATTGTGTGACGCAGTAAAGTCTGTACATTCTGGTTATTTACTAATCATTGGAAATAAAAGCAAACTAAAGGGGTCTTAAGTGAGAAGTAGAATAGTAGGGAAAACAATTACCGAGTCAAATGAGTTAAAAATTATAGGTGTAAAGCTATACTTAACATTGATAAAAATAGTGCTATTTTAATTGATTCTCAAGTAAACACCATCGATTTACATTTAATTTTCAAAATTTGTTATTCATGAATCACAATATATTCTTAGTTGTTGTGAAGTACAATTACTATTATTTTTAGTTAACTACATGGATATATATATATATATTTATATATCAAAGACTCGGGGGTCTTCTATTCTGCCGTATCGTGCATAATTTACAAGGAGAAACTCCTAGTATACCCCTAAAAAAATTAAAATTTTGTTTCATTATCATCAAGATCAGTAAGTTTCAACTCATTTTTGTTCAATACATCGATTATAAATTGGTTTCTGAAGAATCCTCCGAAGACATCAAATCAACTTGTGAAAAATCATTTTGATTGTTTTTAAAACTGATTATAGTATATTAATGCAGTGTTTATTACCGTTTTGTTTATGTACAAGCATTTTGAACATCCTTCTACTTCTATTATCGATAGGAAACTTCAACGATGAGTTGTATCATTCTTAATCTAAAAAAATCTTGAATCAAATCTATTTCGAAATTGCTATACTATGGTTACCGATGCTTCTATTTAATTGAACAAGATTTTTAATAGACGTCTCATGGTCATCGCTTTTATGTGAGTGTGGACGCGAAGAGAAAATTGATACCCACACCCAACAAAAAGAATAACTTATATTTGTTTCAGTGGTAATAATAAAATTTCCCCAAACCAATAGCACAATATTTATCTTTGGATATTCAGAATTGTTACTAAATCAAGGAGATGAGGGATTCTCGAATCTCCAACGATATTCTATCAAAACGATTGAAAAAGTCTATTGTTTTATTTTACAGAAGATCATTAAGGCTAGTGACTCTTGTGGCCATTTTTTTAAGTTTCTTCCTTTTTTGTTTTGAGGCTTACATGCAGTTGAAAATTTTTCAAATATACTAAAAAAAACACCCTGATTTTATTAAAATTAGAGATTGTTTCTCTTCATCGGTGATCTTTTTCGAAAAAAAGGACACGAGAGTCACTAGCTTTAAGTGTTAGCTTTCACACCAAAAAAAAGATTTGACTTTATTGTTTGATTTGATCAAATCTTGTTGGAGATGCTTTATCAGACTCCTGTTTTGAGAAATTCGAAAATAATCTGCTGGAATAATTTTTTAAATGACAATAAAATGTACATTGATGAATGAGAATCAACATTCGATTCTGATCAAAGCATACTAGTTCGTTTATTGCAAAGCTCAAAAAACGTTTTTCGAAAAGATTAGTTTTTTGCCGATCCAGTCATGAAAAAAACAAAATTGCTTTTTCAATTTCAGTCCAAACTTAGACGATTCGTAGGTAAGCGACATTGCTGATCACGAATATGATATTCATTCAATTCAATTCTGCTTCTAATTAAATGCTTATTGGAGCGGTGTTAAAGATGTCGCCTAATGTCACGCGTTAGCTTAATAATAATTAATTAATTTAGATCGCAGGTACTGTAGAGACTAGTTTCTACGGTGTGTAATGGTACCATAGGCTAATTACTATGGTCTGTAATGGGCAAGTATTGCTTCTTTCGTGTAGTCTGTAATGCGGAGGGGTCGGGGAGCCGCAAAAATCTCGTTCTTAAACTTACGCTCACCATTTTCTTCGAAAATATATGTGAGTTCCACAAAAATTAACCATTTTAGAAATATAAAGTCTAAAAGTCCTACTGATCCTTAACGTCCATATCGCAAGAGACTCGAAAATACATTTATCTTTTTTTTCATCATTCTGACCAAAATTTCGTATTTTGAGGGGAGTGGGCTTAAGAGAGAATGCCTCGAAATCAAGCATATTAGTGTGCGAGTGCGACGAGAAGAGCATCCTACCGCACTGACACCGCACTCAGATTTTATTAAGCAGTGTATAGACTATAAAAGAGAAGGAATGAAACTGGAATCCATTTGATTTTACTGATAAAATGTTTGAACTTAGTCTCTACAGTCAATTCTCATCTTTATATGAGATAAAAAATCAGAGAACTGCGTAATGAAATCGAAAATTTCCTCTATAAAATAAATCAGCTTTGACGAGCATCAATTCAATTAAAAATAGTATTTAAGCATTCACAGAATCATATTTCACACTTACCTCTAACAGGGATTAAATTTTTCATTAATAGATAAAGGTTTCTCTACCTCACTGTCAAAATATTTGTACATGGCTTTCATTTGAAAATATCAACGATTTCTCATTCTTAAAATCAGAACAGTTTATTTTCGAGTAGATTGATTTAGACGATGCTTCTCTTGTCAATTATTATAGTTGTGTGTTATTCTTTGAGTTGTTCGACTTCATTATCGATACAGCCTAAAGCAGACTCGTGTAATACTTACAATCATCCACAATACGGTATTGGTCAATGTATTGAAACCAGTAAATGTCCGAATGCATTGTATATATCCGGTTATTGTGAATCCCAACCGGCCAATATCAAATGTTGTTTTTCGTTAAATCCAGTAGAAAGACAAGAATTTCGAGCTATTTGGATTGCTACTGCAACCAACATCGATTGGCCGTCGTCAAAAACAGCCACAGCAGCTACACAACAAAATGAACTTGTCAATATTTTAAATATGGTCCAACGACTCAATATGAATGCTGTCATTTTTCAGGTGGGTTCAAATCAATATTGTTATTTAACTAAGATTAATATCAATCAAGTATAGGTTCGACCTGCAGGCGACGCTCTCTATTCTTCGACACTCGAACCATGGAGTCTCTATTTAACTGGCACACATGGTGTTGCACCATCACCCATATGGGATCCTCTCCAATTCATTCTGACCGAAGCACTTAAACGCAACATTGAAGTACACGCTTGGATCAATCCATATCGTGCTCGAATGAAAGGTGCAACATATACGCCGGCAGCGACAAACATGGCTAAAAGATTTCCAAAGTATGCCTATACGTATGACAGCCAACTCTGGATGGATCCAGGATCAAAAGAAGTTCAAGAATTTGTTCTCAATGTTGCTGAAGATATCGTTCGTCGATATGCTGTCGATGGTCTACATATCGATGATTATTTCTATCCGTATGGTGATGGTACTGAGTTCCCTGATTCAGCTACGTTCAGTGATTATCAACAACAAGGTGGAACAATGAATAAGGCCGATTGGCGTCGATCAAATGTCAATTATTTAATCGAATCATTGTACAATCGTGCACATGCTATTCGACCTAAAATCAAATTTGGTGTGTCCCCCTTTGGCATTTGGAAAAGTGGTACACCAGCAGGCATTACTGGACTTTCATCGTACGATAGTCTGTACTGTGATAGTCGTTTGTGGTTACAACAAGGTACTGTTGATTATTTAACACCGCAACTCTATTGGGCAATTGATCCACCTGCTCAATCCTACAATGCTTTACTGAACTGGTGGATAGGACAATCGACCAAAGGTCGTCATGTCTATCCTGGTAATGCAGCCTACAGAATGAGTCAGGCTACCAGTCCATGGGCAGTAACTGAACTCGTTCGACAAGTCAACCTAACTCGAACGATGAGTAATCGTCTTGCACTTGGTAATGTCTTCTTTTCGACGAAACAACTTATGCAAAATGTCAAAGGTATTCAAAATGAGCTTGCAAAACTCTACACAGACAAGGCTATTGTACCAAAGATGAATTGGCTGTAAAAGGACACATAACTATTGATTATTGTGGAATTTGAAATGATATAATTTGTTTGAAAGACAAAATTTCATGGGTATTTCACAAAAATACAGTTATTTTCACTTGAGTTCTATATAATTTATATAAGGTCGATCATCCAACGACGACTCTATTACCCTTGAAAAGAACTTTTCGCAGACACAAGAGAAACTAATCCTTGCTCATTAACCTTATTTTCATTAGAATATAATTCAATCATGATTTACTATATGAAATCATTCAGCGATTTGTAAAATTTATTTCAAAACACTGTGAAAACTGTTTCTTCTTGCTATCAAGTCCATATGCTATTCAAAGTCCAAATGTTGAGCGTGCCAATTACGATAGTCTGATTCGTAGTTGAGTCACTGTTGACATAAACTGCCAAATTTTGAGCTGTATCTTCTTCTGGATAGACACGCGTCGTGATTGCTAAACGGCCACCCTATGGTTCAAACACTTCGACTACTGAATGATCAATGAAAATATTCAATTCTAGAAACCACTGATCGTTCAATGATTCAGATTCCAACCATATCGTACCAGCAAGTGGATCACGTGATGCTCCAGAGCTTCGCTGTGATAAGGTTCGATTAGTGTAAACCCAGACGAGTTGTTGTTGCTGTTGTTGTTTGGTCTCGGATTGTTTTAACCTGAGGTACAAATCAAGCCTGCCACCAAGTTCGGTATTCCCGACTTGAGAAAACAATTATTATTCATTTGTTTGGCGCTATCAAATGTCCATGAGCGACATTTAATATCTTGCTCACAAGCATGTTGACAATCTAACGAATTCGTAATACCTGGTACACTAAAATAGTCCCATCCAGGTACATCCCAATTAGGCATGAATGTTGTGCTGGCTCTCGTCATTATTCCAACGCTTGTTCGTTGACTACCACCCAATGTCGAAAGGACACTCAATCCGAAATCTAAATCTTGCGAAAACAATTTCATAGATAAATCGATCAAAAAAGTCTTCCAAAAATGTGTATTTACTTTATCTCTTGGAAATTGCCAGTTAATTATCAGTTCAATTTGATTTCCACTCACATCAGGTACCAATTCGAATGGTATTGTTGATGGTAAAACAATATTATGAAAGTATCGATGACTTTCTTCCACACGTAAAGTTTGCAATGCTTCTATTGGACATGATCCAAGTTGTAATCCGTCGTTCGAAAGAAAGATAGATCGTGGCAGAGAATGCATACCTTGCCAGCCACGTTTTTCACCTTGGTCATCATCTTCAGCTATCCAACCTACGATGACTTGTTGATCATGAATAGGATCATAGAATGACTTGGATGCATAGAATTTTCCCTGATCGATCAGTTGTGTATATTCGCCAACGTCGCCAGCTAGTGGATGAAAAATTTTCTGTATAGGATCAAGTTCACCAACAGCCCAAAAGTCTTGTCCACGCAATGATACTTTCATTACAAGTCGATTAGAAACATTGAAAATATCTGGACATTCCCAGAATGTATCATAGTGGTTACTATGAATTGGATGTAAATACGTCCAATTCACAAAATCTCTTGATGTGAATAATACCGCTTGGCCACCTAATTCATCGGAACCAAATCCATAAATCAAGTAGTAATTATTGTGATCATCTTGAAATGCTGTTGATGGATCACGTCCATTCGGACTAATGATAAGTGGATTTGATGGCCATTTGATCCATTTACTTAATGTTGGATCTGTTAAATTTGCTGGACGAGCTTGACATTGTACTTGTGCGTGAGTTTCATTGATTCCAGTATAGATGATAATAGGAACACCATCAACAACAGATGTACTACCGGTCCAAATACCATTTATATCGTATGGTTGTTCAGGTGCAATAGCAATTGGTAAACCTATCCAATGGACCATGTCTTTACTGTAGAAATGACCCTTTGGAGAAGAAATAAGTCACGTAATAAAATAAGAACTCTTCAAATCTGCTTGATATCATGCACCCAATATTTCATTATTCCTACTGGCGAATTTGGATCATATTGAAAGAACATATGGTGATAACCATTATAATATACGGGACCATTGGGATCATTAAGCCAATTGCTCGGTGGTAATAAGTGATATTGCGGGCGAAATCGATCATCAGCTTGACTAATGTCGAGAACTATGATGAGGAAAACAAAAACTAGTGCTTTTTTCATAGTTTGTGTGTAGGTTTGTTGATATGTTTGTTATCAAATTCCTTTTATATATACATTTTTTTGATATTGTTACCTTGCTTCTTACTCCTACTTGAAAGAAAAATGTGTAGATACGATTATCGAGGTCAATACACGGAAATGGTTTTGTAAAAATACGCATGCAAGCATATTTTCGATTATAAAAGTCATAAGACGTGGCCGGATTCGAGGAGTTCAGAAATCTTCAAGAATTCTGGCCTCTAAAAAACGCGACGCCTGGCGAATAATTCACATCGTACTGTTCTAAGGACCGTTGAACTCTTAGAAATCTTAATGATGTGGGTGTGGGTGTGTGGATACTAGTGTGTCTGCCTGTTTTTAGTTTCGGTGGGGGCGAATGAATATCTGTTCTCGTGTTCGTTATCAGAGCACAGGCATTGATGTGCTGTGTGTGTGTATTTGGTGAACATGCGAGTAGGTGTTTCTGTAATGCTAGTGATACATCCAGGATAATGTTATCCCATAAACTGCAAGCGTCGATGAAAGGCAAATATGTGAGGAATGTGAAAGTGCATGGAATATCTCGACGCTGAGCAAAATGTATGAAAGTGAGATGCCTTTTAGTAGAAGAAGAAGAAGAAGAATACCCCGCCTTTCCGCCTACCTTACGGTGTGGAATGTTGCCCGAGGACAATTTCAAGGGCCCGAGTTTTTTCCTACATCTATTACTAAATGTAGCTCTGGACAGAAGGCTGGCCTGACTCAGAGTTCTTCACGCTTAATTGCTTAAGCTCCCCGTACACACTGACTAACAACATACTAGCCAGAAGAGCTATTTAATGTATCCCACACGTAGTCAGTTTGTTATCGGATGGGTGATCCGAGATAATATAGCCGTTAGTAACTTATCCAAGGTCATTCTATAACTGGATGGAGCCGAGGCTCGATCACAGTGTCTTGTGGATATGTGTCAAACATCTTAACCATTCAGCCATAGCGACTCGCAAAAATATGATCTTTTTTCATACAACAAGTTGTGTCTAAAATTTGAAAAACAAAAGTTCCAAGTACGATTACTTCGAGTATTTTCCCCAGCTCTGTTTACTTTAAAGTGGTTTTTGTCTTTCGATTCCCCATATCTAATTACCATATTATTTTCTCTAAATAAATTATGCACTCTTCTCAGTCAGACAATTCTCTTTAAAAAACGCGTTAAAACGCGTTAAAATTTCATCAAAACGCTGTTTTAACGGTGCTTTAGCGTTAAAACACCGTTTTAACGATTTTGTTAACGCATTTTAACGCATTGTAGGTTCCACAGTACGTTAAAATGCGTAAACATATTTAGCCTTTCGACGTTTTTACGCGTATATGGCTCAATTTTGACGAGTTTTATGGTGTTAAAAAGTTACAACGCGTATTAGCGCGAAAATTATCATTAAAAGAACGTATTTTTACGCATATTTTCTTATCGAGTATTACTATGTTCAGGAGTCAATCATCATTTCTATGTTTTTACTTGAATTTAACGTGTTGAAATGAGTTTGCCTACTACGATTAGTTAAAACTCAGAGCCTCATATTCGATAAATTAAATTCGTATGAACAAATATCACCTTTTAATTTTTCATTAGAATACATTATTGTACTTTAAGCAATCATAAAAATGTATGGCATTCCATGAAGATATCTGACTTCTTTTCTCCTCTAATTTTGCAAGAGCATACGAATTCTCATTGTACATTGTTTAACTTCTTCAAATAAAATTTTCATGCCATCGAAATTTTATTTGATCTGCTTGTAATCCAGTATAGTTGTGCATGTAGTGTATCTTGTATGTATCTGTTGTGTCAAAGTTACACCGGTCAACAAAGTTATAACTTCGACAAAAAAAATCGCCGAAGTTATTTTTTATTCAGCTATCAATAAATAATTTACTAAATTGAATTTTGTATTGTTGACTGTATTAGAAAAGTTTTTTTCAATAAGTATCATTTATTCAACAATATTGTTGAATAAATAGTATTTGTTGAAAAAAAAATTCTAATGCAGTCAACAATCGAACATTTTATTTAATAAATTATTTATTGATAGCTGAATAAAAAATAACTTTGACGATTATTTTTTTCGAAGTTATAATTTCGTCGACTGGTGTAACTTCGATACAACATATCCACTGTTTACTTTAAAAGATTATCAAGAACTTAAGATATTATATATTCTAACACTTCAATACATCAGTATG